CTTCCTCTTGACATCCTAGGGTAACTGAAGAGTAAATAAGCCTAGCACAGTACCTGGCACATAGTAGGCCCTGTGATGGTGGTAGTTAGATTGTCAGCAGTGTTATGATCTCTCAGTATTGTTATATTGTTACAGCTTACACTTAAATAACACTATTGATGTGTCAGACACTGTTCTGCCTTACAACTATTAGCTCATTGAATCCTCAGTCAGTCCTATGAAGTAGGTTCTATTATTATTCCCTGTTTTATAGACAAAGAAACTGAGAGAGGTTCAGTTGGCCCAAAGTCATACACCTAAATTGCTTGACCAGGATTTAGACTGAGTCAATTGGGCCCCAAGTTTATGCCCTTAATCACCAGGCTGTATTGCCTCTCGCATATATACTTTGCTGCTCACTATGTAGTTTGGCCTAAAAGTATTAGTCTGATCTTTTTTGGAGGGTGGGGGGCATTGTGACATACCTAGTCTTTCTTTGTGAGAAAGTATTTGGACAAGAATTAAGGAGAGAAACACAGATTTATAAGAGACAGTTTTCCATTTGGGTTCGATCTCAAGTTTCATCTACAGCTTAACTACCTTATACCTTCCCCAAAGTCAAGACCCATCAGTCCTTTTCTGAGTTCAGAATTGGGTTTCCAAATTGCTCTTTAGCTTTATGGAAGAGTGGAGAGTAGCCAGAGCAGAAGATACTCGAAATGTCAGTTACTGACAAAACTGGACATAAGTAGGAATATTCTTAAGGAAAGGCGAGAGGGTCTTCCTGGATAGATAGAAAGATAAAGTGATCATGTCTTCATAAGAGTACTCTGTGCTACATGAACCCCGGAATACAACCATAAGTATGGGATATTTGATATGTATGGATTTCATTAAAATAAATTATTTCAGGTCACTTTCATTTTGAATTTATAGAAACTGTAAGTTAAATGATTCAGAACCCAGAAGAATCCATACATCTACAAAAAATCTATTTTTATGGTATAAACTATGTCTTCTTTATAATTGGCCAGGAATTTATAGTTTGCAGGAGGAAGAAAGGTTCAAAGAACACAGCGTTAGAACCAGAAGACCCTGGGATTTAATTTCCCTCTTCCTACTTCCTACCTTTATGCAAGTAAGTTCATCAGGGTCCTGATCTGTAAAATAGGAATAATAACATCTGCCTCTCATGGTTGCTATGAGGATTCATTGAGGTAACATATACGACATGCTTGGTGGCACTTTACATGTAGTAAATGAAAGTCATCATTATACTAGGCTTCAAGGAGAAAATCCCAAAGCTACTTCCAGGAAACCTATTTTAATAGAAATACCAAAAAAACAGGAAAGTAAATGTCAAATGATGATGTTTATAGCTTGAGAGTGGAGCAGGAATTTGTGTTTAGGAGTAAAAGACCCTTCCTAGTACTCCCTGGCTCCCCTGGTTTTCCTGATCCACATTTCCCAGGCAGTTGCAGAGACTGGAAAGAAAAAAATGTGCAAAGGAGACAAAGCTTGAAATTCCTCCTGATGCAGCGAGGCCTTACCTCCCAGTGGTCAGGGAAGGGAGGCTCATAGACTCATAGACCAGTCCAGCTGTCACGTAGGCTGGCAGCTTGGAAAGCTCAGCACCTGCATAATACTCTCAGAGTACACATACAAGGGGCAGCCTTCCTTAAGATGAAAGGATTGCCAGGCACAGTGGCTCATGTCTGTAACCCCAGCACTTTGGGAGGCAGAGGCAGAGGATTGCCTGAGTCCATGGGTTCAAGACTAGCCTGGGCAACATGGCGAGACCTCGTCTCTACAATAAATTTTTAAAAATTAGTCAGGTGTGATGGTGTGCACCTGTGGTTCCAGCTACTTGGAAGACTGAGGCAGAAGGATGACCAGAGCCCAGCAGGTCAAGACTGCAGTGGCTATGAGCATGCCACTGTACACCAGCCCAGTCGACAGAGTGAGACTCCGATTCAAAAACAAAAAACAAAAAATAGGTGAAAGGATCTGTCTGCATAAGTGCAACATATCTGGTTTTGATTAAATTATTGCATGTGAATGATCCATTGGAGATGCTACAATGTGTGATAATTATAGTATCCTCAGAAAAATGACACAGTGAGAAATTGGAGAACTTTCAAGTATATATGATATGTTTTAAATTACAAAAGTAGCCTTTATTATAGAATATTTGAAAAATACAGAAAAACACAAAGGAAAAATAAAAACACTTATAACCCCACTATCCAGTATAACTACTGTTTGCATTTTAGAAATAGCCTTCTACACTTTTTTTCCCATATGCCTCTTAATGTATATATAAATATATATATGAAAGACATATATATATATGATATATATATATCTTAGATTTACCTCTTTTTATTGATACATATTTGTGAGGTACATGTGCTATTTTGTTACATGCGTAGAATGTATAATGATCAAGTCTGGGCGTTTGGAGGATCTATCATCTCAGGTATTTACCATTTCTATGCGTTGGGAACATTTCAAGTTAACTTGCTGTTAACTGTAGTCATCCTACTCTGCTATTAAATTTTTTACAATTACAATTATCCTGTATAGATTGTTCTATAATTTACTGTTTTACTCTTTTCATAGAATAACATATTATAACCATGTTTTATAGTATTGAGTATTTCTGTAGCATCACTTTTAATATCTTTGTAGTATTTCACAATGTTTTATTTAATCAGCCCTTCTGTTGTTAGACCTAGATTATTCCCAAATTTTGGCTATCATAAGAAAAAAGAATTATCATGGCTAGACTTTGTACCCAGACTTACAGCAAATTTATAAACATGGATGTCAGTGCCTTATATACACCGTGTTGCTGGGAGGCAATGGGATGGGAGCAGTGAGAGATTGTTTAATAAGTAGGTCATTGTCTCAGAAAGCGCCTCTCTAGGTTCAGGGGTAACTCTCTTCCCTCTAATAGACTAAAGGAGCCCATGGCTAAGTTTTCTTAAAGTTCAACTGAGCCTGATTTTTCTGAGATTCCTCCCACCAGTGAATGTGCCAGCGTCTATTGATCAGCAACAAATGTGCCCATTAATTGACAAATGTTGACACTGACTATAGGAGTTACTGCATTTCCATACTTTCATGTATCTAATACTTTTGAAATTAGACTTTTACTCCTTTTACTCTGTATAATGTTGAAATACAATACCTTCTTGATGTAAATGCAGTGTATTAGAGTTTAAAAGAATTGTGTAGACTTCTAACCATGTATTTGCTTAAATCGTTATGTGTTTTAAGCATTTGTTTGCTTAGTAGTGGTTTAAAAAGCTTTGAATCATGTAAAAAGTACTGAATATATGTAAGAACTCAGAATTACCAGAGTGCTAATGAAATATCTTTTAGAGACTCCAGGCCCAGTGGCTCATGCCTGTTAATCCCAGCACTTTGTGAGGCTGAGGAAGGAGAGGTACTTCAGCCCGGGAGTTCAAGACCAGCCTAGGCAACATAGTGTGACCTTGTCTAAGAAGGAAGGAGGAAAAGGAGAGAGGGAGGGAAGGGAGGAAGGAAGCCAGCCGCGTGAGCCCAGGCAACATAGTGCGACCTTGTATAATTAATTAATTAATTAGCCAGGCATGAGCCTAGGCAACATTTGTTTGTTTATTTGACCTTGTCCAAATAAACAAACATAAAATAACTAGGTGTGGTGACCCACATCTGTAGTCTGAGCTATTTGGGAAACTGAGTTGGAAAGATTGCCTGAGCCCAGGAGGTTGAGGCTGCTGTGAGCCGTGATCGTGCCACTTCATTCTAACCTGGGAGACAGAGTGAGACTCCCACTCGAAAAGAGAAAGAAACGTCTATTAGTGAAAAGATCAAATATACTGTGAAACTGAAATGAATCTCAACAGCGCTGCGGATGAGCAAAGAACATTGGGGAGAGAAAGACTGGATATAAGTGAAGTGCCTCAGACTGTGAAGAAAAAATCCTGGATGTGAATAATCAACAAGTTGACAACAGCTGAAGAACATATCTAAAAATACGTGTTCCGCCTGGGAGCCTGCACAGCTCTGATGCGTTCCTCAGATCTCTCACACCTCTCCGTCTGTCTGACCAAACACACCTTTCAGAGTCAAAATAATAAGACAGTTTCTTATGCCTCTAATCTTTTCAATAACCATTAACAAAATCACAGGAGCAGTCTTTTGAATCTGATCACTGGACCCGTTAGGTGTTATCTGAGAAGAGCAAGATTGTCATTGGGGCTGACAAAGAAATACATGAATAAATGTATAAAATGTCCCAGTGTTTTGTTAAAGTCTGCCAGGACCCTTCTTCTGATGCAGGGTAGCTAGTATTCCTGGTTTCCAGTATTATTTAACCTGCGTTTCTTGTGTTTTCATAAATGTTTCAACAAAAATATGAAGTAGGAGCCACTGTTTTCCCATTGCCAAAACCCAGAAACCTGAAGTTGTTTTTTTTAACCTTGCCTGGTTTTTAAAAATTTTTTGAATTTTTGGACTGCCATCATATTAGAGTTCTAAGCATACCTATTCCTGATTGTAATTTATTATTTATTATATGTTGATTAATAAGTACCTTTGTAGGAGTGCCTCCTGTGAGGCAGGCCCATTTCTAATAAATGCTTTTCCTGTGTCACCTCTGTTCGTCACAGTAATCCTTCAAGGTATAAATATTCCTACATTACATATTAGGAAATGGAGGTTCAGAGCGGGTAGGTTACCTGTTCATGTCTGAGAAGCGTTGTAGCCATGTTTAACTCCAGGTCACTGTGACTCAGAGGCCATTTATCTCCCACCTGTTTGGGGGAGAACTGAGTGGAAACAGATCTGATAATGGAATAGACAAGTATGTGAAACAAACCTAAATCCTTCCATCAGGGATAGCTAAACTCTCAAGACGACCTCAGCATTTTCCTAAGGCTTTGTCAGCTGGCAGAAGCAGTGTGTGGTGTTTTGTAAGTGTTAAATTCATTGTTTCAGATTTCCTCCCCTCCTCCTGCCCTTTGATCTTCCAGGCCCTCAGTACCGCCTGGAGAAGCAGAGCGAGCCCAATGTTGCTGTTGACCTGGAGAGCACTTTGGAGAGCCAGAGCGCGTGGGAGTTCTGCCTGGTCCGCGAGAACAGTATGTTGGCCACCTCGCTCCGTGCCTGCTTTGCCCGTTACAAGCTTGCTTACAAGTCGTGTATTTGGGAATACTCTCTAGTCTGGCATCTCCAGGCAGATTTGAAGTGACTGTTTCCCAAAGCAGACTGCAGCTTTGTGCCAAAAGTGTGTCCCGAAGTGGAATGATTGATTTTGTGCTTTTTGGTAGAGAGTCTGCATCCTGTTTAACACTCTGTGATTAATACTTTTCTGTTAAAACTGTATCTTCCTACGTTAGGAGCATCCCTGGAAACAGCTTAGAAATATGAGGCCTTTTCTGAGATAAAGGCTGTTTGTTTTATATATAAAGCAACTGGCCCTGTCAGTGTCACTATTTTGATTTCAGGTTTTAGAAAATTCGAACTATTTGCATATTCTGGAAGGAGGCCATGGAGTGATTCCTTGTGTTGTGTTGAGAACGTCTTTAAAATTTGTTTACTTTGTTCATTCTCTCTTCAGAATATCCACTCTGTGAGTTTTTGCTATCTTCTTCTCTGTATGCCCACTGACTCAGGGGCAAGTGATGTGTGAAAACTGCCTTTAGAGCAGCAGACTGTCTGAGATTGTCCCTGCTTCAGGGCTTTTATACAGGCTGTTTATTCCACCTGGAACACTTTCCTCTTTTCTGGTTAACTCTTTCTCATTCTTCATCTCAGTTTAAATGTCATGTCTTCAGAGAGACCATCATGACCTTCCTGTCCCCCACCGCTTCAACCTGGTGATCCAGCCTTCATTTGGGACCACTGTTATATTCTGCCATAGACCATCCTATTTTTTCTACATAGCATATATTTCTATTTATAATTACATATTTTTCTCAATGACAGTTTGAGGTCTATCTCTCCCAACAGATTGTCAGGTCTGTGAGGATGTTCCTGGCCCATACTTGGTTCCCTTCATTAATTCAGCAATGTGATGTAGATCATGTGCTGTTGGAGCTCAGTAAAAATAGATTGAATTGAGTGAATGAATGCTAGATCTTTAGTTATGCCACTGACTATAAACCAGGTTGCTGCTCTTTGGCCAAGGCCCCAGACAGCCTTTTCTGGAGGAATATGCATGAAAAAGTATGCACAGGAAGGTGAAATGTGCTCTTGGCATTTGGCACCAAAGTCTCAAAGGCAGAAGGTTGGTGTCCCCACAGTCTGCAACCAGTACCTTATTGTCACTTATGTAAATACACATAGAAATAAAAATCACTGACTCCCAAATGGCTTAAAAAATTCAAATAGTAAACATCTGCAAAAATATTCATCCCTATCAGCAATCTAAGATACAGACATTTTAAAGCAACAATATAATACTTTCCACCTATCAAAGAAGCCAGATATTTCAAAAAGAGCCCTCTTTGCTGGAGAGAATACAGGGAAATATGCATACTCAAACACTGGTGACTGTAGTATAAATAAACTTAGTCTAATATAGCTGGAATTATCAAGATACCTAAAAAATGTTTTCTCTATTATTACTGCTTTTAGAAATCTGTCTTAAGGCAAAAAGAGCGAAAAGACAAAGATTTACATATAATGATAGTTTTCATAATATGATTTCTAATATCTAACATTGGTTAAGTAAACGGATAACTTATGATGTATCCCTATATTGCAAAATTATGCAGGGTTTCACCTTCTAGTAAAGCCAGGCTAAGTAATTTGAATCAATTTCTTCCACTGAAAGTAAATTAAAAAGCTGATTAGGATGAGGATTTGCTCATTTCAGAGTCACCAAAGAACACAAAGTAAAAAAGAATCAATAACCTATATCTGGGAGAAGATTGAATCAAAAGAGATGATATCAACACCTAGAACCACTTTTGCCCTGACATTATTTGCCTGGTTGGCAGAGGCAGCTGAAAGGTTGAGCTGGACTGTTGACAGCTTTTAGAGGAAAGGGAACAAAAGAAATCCAGGGTTTGCCAGGAGTAGAAATCCCAAAAATAGAAGGCATGTTAGTAAGATAGTAGATTTAAACCCAAATAAATCAGTATATGAACTAAAGTTTTAGTTTGTTTTTTAAAGTTGATTAAGATAGATTTTCTTTCAACTATCTAAAACAAAGATACTGAAAGTATGAACCAAAAGGATAGAAAAAGATACTCTATGCAAATGGCAACTGAGATCAGTGTAGTCATATTAACATGAGGCAAAATATTTCTTTTGAAGAGACAGGGTCTAAAATGTATCTTTAGATACCAAAAACATTACTTCATAATGATGAAAATACTCGGAAGATTTAACAATTCTAAATCTATATGCCTCAAAATATATAATGCAAAACTGAAGAATTTCTCAGAAAAATATATAAATCTCTGATCATGGAGGGAGATTTTAACTCTCAGTAATTGAAAGAACAAATACCTTATTTATTTATTTATTTTGAATCAGGGTTTTACCCTGTTGCCCAGCCTGGAATTCAGTGGCACAATCACAACTTACTGCAGCCTCTACCTCCTGGGCTCAAGTGATCCTCCTACCTCAGCCTCCTGAAAAGCTAGGACTATAGTGTGCTACCACACCTGGCTAATTTTATTTTATTTTTTAGAGAAAAGGTCTTACTATGTTGCCTAGCCTGGTCTTGAACTCTTGGGCTCAAGCAATCCTCCCAGCTTAGCCTCCCAAAGTGCTGGGATTACAGGCATGAGCCACCATGCCCAGCCCATTTAAAAAATCTATAATTATATAGAAATTTGAAACACGCAGTTAAACTTAACCTCATGGATATGTACAGAAAATATTTTAGCCTACAACTGCAGAGTACACATCTCTTTCAATCACACTTGTACACTTACCAGTATTAACCACATACTAGGCAATAAAGTAAGTCTTAAATATCAAAGGATTGAAATCCCGTGTGATCTGTTCTCTGATCACACTGAAATTAGGCTAGAAATCAAGAAAAAGATAACTATAATCTGCATATGTTTGGAAATTGAGAAATAAATTTCTGAACCTATAGAAACTAAAAAATATTTTGACTGAAAGGTAATGAAAATTCTACATATTAAAACTTGGTGATATAGTTAAATTAATGAAATTAATGAAGTAGAAATTCAGAAACATTAAAAACAAGAGTTGGTTCTTTGAAACGTAATAAAATTGGTAAACCTCTAATGAAGTGGTTTAAAAACAAGGAACCAAATTACAGAGAAACACAAATAGTAACAGGAGTAAAAAGGAGGTATACTATAGATCCCATCATTAAATAGATAATACAAGATTATTTTGAAAAAATTCATACCAAAAATATTGAAATTATAGATGAAAAGAACAAATTCCTAAAAAAAGACAACAAAACTGACACAAGAAGAAATAGAAAACCTGAATGTTCTCATAGCTATTTTGAAAAGTTGAATTAGTGATTATAAACTTCCCACAAAGAAAATCCAGGCCTAGATGACTTCACCAAACACTTAAGGAAGAAGCAGCTCCAATCTTACAACAGTTGTTCCAGATAATAGAAAAAGAGGTTATAGTCTGCAATTTATTTTAAGAGACTATCATAATCTTGATACCAAACCCCAGTAAAGACCATACAAGGCAGGAAGTTTTCAGGCAAATTCTAAACAATATTAGTAAACTGAATCCAGCCTTATACTAAAAGAATACTATGGAATTACTAATTTGGATTTATTCTAGGTATGCAAATTTGGCTTAACATTAGAAAAATTTAGTCCACGTACTTTTCCACAATAACAGATTAAAAGGAGAAAAATTGCCAGGCTCGGTGGCTCAGCCTGTAATCCCGCGCCTTTGGGAGGCTGAGGTGAGTGGATTGCCTGAGCCCGCGGGTTCGAGACCCGCCTGGGCAGCGAGACCTCATCTCTACTAAATCAAAATGAGCCGGGCGTCGCGCCTGTAGTTCCAGCTACTCGGAAGGCTGAGGCGGAAGGATCGCCGGAGCCCAGCAGGTCGAGGCTGCGGTGGCCGGGAGCGGCCACTGCACTCCAGTCTGGGCGACCGAGTGAGACTCCAACTCAAAAAAATAAAATAAAATAAAGTCATAATCTGCTCCCTCCTTCAACCCCCTTTAAAAAAAAAAAAAGGAGAAAAATTGTCTCAGTAGATATGGAATGTTAATCATTAAAGTTGTGGTTATCTGGCCGGACACAGTGGCTCAAGCTTGTAATCCCAGCACTTTGGGAGGCCAAGGTAAGAGGAATGCCTGAGCCCACAGGTTCAAGAACAGCCTAGGCAGCTTGGTGAGACCTCATCTCTACAATAAATCAAAAAATTAGCCGGATATGGTAGTGTGCGCCTTAGTTGTGGCTACTTGGAAGGCTGAGGCAGAAGGATCACCTGAGCCCAGCAGATTGACACTGGTGTAGCCATGGGCGTGCCACCACACTCAGCCTGGGTGATGGAGTGAGACCCCAACACAAAAAAAAAAGTTGTGGTTATTGAGTGGTTCATAATGAAAGAAATAACTTTGATGTTGCATAGGTAAATATAATACAAACTGTATATAAACATAACAACAAAAACTATAGCAGGAAAATGTTAATAGTGATTGTCTCCAGTTGGCAAGATTCTGAGTAATTCATTTTCCTTCCTCTTTATAATTGTTCTTTCCAGTGTTTCTAAAGTGAGCGTATGTAACTTTCTAAAAAGAAAGCACAAACAAGAAATAAGGGCAAGCTGACATACATAAAGACTGTCTAGTGAGAAGAACATCTCATAATGTAACAATCTGATGGTATTTGAACTCTCAAACCATTTATAGTACCACACCATGGCGTGCCAAAGAAAAGTTACACCAATACGTCCTTTGTAACTTGCTTACCTGAATTTTTCCTGATGGGAACAAATAATCCCTCTCTCCTCCCTGTCATTTTCTTTCATTCTTTAAACACTCATATTTTTGTTGTTGTTTTGTTTATTTGCATCTGATTTTTTTTTTTAATTTTAATAGAGATGGAGTGTCTCACTATGTTGCCCAGGCTGATCTCAAATTTTGACTTCAAGCAGTTCTCCCCTTTCAGTC